TCATTAATGAGAACAACATATTTGTAGAGAAAGTCACAATTCCATTTCCCCTAACTTCTTATATAATGTCAAGTTTACAGGAGTGCACTGGATTTCATGTAAATGTTATGTTGTTAAGCTGGGGTTTTCTTAAAATTAAAGAAATGTACTTTAATTGAATCACTTTTTTAATTGACTCCCAGATGTTTAACTGAAAGAATATTGTTCCATTTTTATTTGCATGAGAAATATATTATAATACAGTTTATAAAAAAATAACATTCTTTAAAATGAAGGGGCTGTGGACAAAATGTAATTCTGTAACATGTCCCTAACAATTATTTTCACTATCCATTAATATGCCCAGTAATTTCTTTAGTGTTCTCGTCAATTTAATAACATTCCAAAACCAAAAAGCACTCAATTTGCTGTCACATAAGACAAAAAAGAAGCAAATCATCAGAAATATTAGTCCAGATCTACGTAAACATTTTATTATTTTAAGCTTTGACCATCAAAATAGTTGAAGAATAATCAATTGTCAGTTTGTCTTGGCCCGGGCTGCTGCTCTCTCTCACCCTCTCCATGTCAATATCGTCCCCGAGCTTCATGTTTTTGGTGTGAATCTGCAGGATCTCCAGTCTGCCGGTGGAATCAGGGATTCCAATGTCAATCTCCCGGTCAAACCTGCCTGGAGAGAGACGTCACCATTTGTAAATGCATCTGTGTTTATGTGTGTATATGATTGTTTATGTTGCTGTCCTGACCAAAGCGTCTCAGAGCAGGGTCAATGCTGTTTGGTCGGTTTGTGGCTGCCATGACGACTACATGAGCTCTTTGCTTCAGGCCATCCATCAGGGTCAGGAGCTGCGAGACTATACGCCTCTCCACTTCACCATGGGTCTATACACACACACACACACACACACACACACACACACACACACACACACACACACACACACACACACACACACACACACACACACACACACACACACACACACACACACACACACACACACACACACACACACACACACACACACACACACACACACACACACACACACACACACACACACACACACACACACACACACACACACACACACACACACACACAACACACACACACACACACACACACCACACACACACACACACACACACACACACACACACACACACACACACACACACACAACAATGGTTTTGGTGGTGAACTTGATAGAGAGTTTCTGCACCACAGCTCTGTACACTGACTGCAGACATGGCCACTTCCTATCTATTGTTCACCTTCTCTCTCTTAGGAGCGATGGAGTCCAGCTCATCAATAAAGATGATGGCCGGAGCGTTCTTCTCCGCCTCCTCAAACGCCTTCCTTAGGTTGCTCTCTGACTCTCCTGCCAGCTTACTCATGATCTCCGGACCTTTTCACAGAATAATGCACGGCATGTTAAACACATTTCCTCCTATACAGAGAGAGAGCTATACATAAGAACAGGGTCATTTCCTATTTTTCCTTACCATTGATGAGGAAGAAAAAGGCCCCAGTTTCGTTGGCCACAGCCCGGGCCACCAGGGTCTTCCCTGTGCCTGCAGGGCCGTACAGCAGGATCCCTCTGGGGGGCTGAGAGAGAGGACAGAAGAATACTTAGAGTAAATAAAAGAGAATAATGTTCAAATAAAACAGGAAGCAGAGATCAGAGTGTATGGGGTCAAGCTACAACACCTTCACTCCTATAGCCTTGAAGAGGCCCGGGTGTCTGAGAGGAAGCTCCACCATCTCTTTGATCTGCGCCAGCTGCTTCCGACAGCCTCCGATGTCGTCGTAGCCGATGTCGTTAAGGCTCTCTTCCTCGTCCTATCAGAGGGTGATACGCAAGAGTCAGCCCTGTTTGAGTTTATTTGTTTTAATGATCGTGGTGTATGCTCAGTGGCCGGCACCTGATGCATACAAGGTTACATGAAACTATCCAGGCTGGAGGACTTTGGCGACTTTGCTAAAGATTCTGTTGGTTTTAATCCATTTATCTGCCAATTAATTTCTCTAATAATCGTTTGGTGCATTTACTGACAGAAATGCCTTTTCGACTTTCCAAAGCCCAAAGTAATATGTTCAATTTAGTTATTTTGTGCAGCCATTAGTCTAACAACCAAATATGCCTTTTTTTACCACCACATAAGACAAAGGAAAGCAGCAACTCCCTTAACAAAGCTGGATCTACTTAATGTTTGTTCCATTTAATACACTTTAAAAAAAAACATAATAATTCTTAGTTATATTTTGTATTCAAACATTTTACCTGCAAAGTAACAAATAATAAGACATAAAGTTAGCAAATACATGAAGTGAAGTAAAAAGTACAATATTTGCTGGCTGGAAATGAAAACACTCAAAGTATTAGTACCTAACAAATGTAAGTAAAGTTCTACAGTAAATGTACTCAGTGACATCCTGATCACAGTACAGAGCTGGTGAAGAGGCTGGATGTGTCACAGACCTCTCTTTTGATTGGGTCTCCCTCGCAGTAGATGACAGTGTCCGGGGCTACGATGCAGTGAGGTCCGGGGTCAGTCTCCACCACCTTGAACTCCACCCCCCTCATGCTCCCCCTCACCAAGAAGATGTCCCCTGGAAACACAGGTAAAAAAGTCAGCACATACAGGGACTATCTATCAGCTCTATGAGATGGAGAGGGGAAACATCAGCAGCAGAGGAGTTTCAGTACCTTGATGGACGGGCCGGTAAGACTCCAGGAAGTACGGTTTGAGGAAAACATCAAAGAGGTTTCCAGACAGGCCCTCAATGGTGTCATCTATTGGGAGGACATGGATCCGTTTCCCATACTTGATATCAGGGCAGGCATGAATACTGTTATAAAAAAACACATCGACATCCTGGTCACTTCATATGCTGTCGTCAAACCTCACATGTTACTCCATACCGGGGGCGGATTACAATGTTGGCCTGGGTACAGACATGCAAAAGCCCCCCCCAGCTTTCAATAGAAGCAAAACGCAAATACATTATTTTAAACCTGTTTATGTTTTGTATCTCTTTGTTATTATGTGGTCTTTTTAAGTCATTTTTTTGTTTCAGTTTTTACCCTTTGTATGTGTTTTGGTAGTTGGTTATAGTTTTTGGAGTCTCTTTGTAGCTGGTTTAAATCTCTTTTTGTTATACGCTATAAGTCTTTGTTGATTTTTGTCTATTTGTGGTACTTATGTGTCCCTTTTCAATTATCATTGTATTATTGGTCTTTTTTTTGCCATTTCTGTGTTTTTAGTGGTGTTTATTGTGGTTATTTCTGCATATAGTTGGTTTGTGTCTTGTAGTTTTTGGAGTATCCTTGTAGTAGGTTTGAGTGTCTTTGTAGATCTTTTTTGTTTGATTTGTTAAGACAAAATTCCCTTTGCAGCTGTTTGAATCTTTTTGTAATTTCTGAGTCTGTTCGTTGTCTATTGGTTTCTCTTTGAATTAGTTTTATGTTTCTTTGGGGTCGTTTTAAGTCTCTTCCTGGTTGGTACTTGTCTTTAAGTGAAATGTTGTGGGTGAAGGCTAGACGACCAGAGGGGCCCCTGACACTTTGAACCCCTGGACCTTGACCCCATACACAAAGTCACAGCCTATAAGATCTACCTGATGACATCACCGAGCCGGACACGCAGGTTGTTGCGCGTCACACGGTTCATGCGGACTCGTTCTTGCCCACATGTGTTATCAGTCAGGACGATGCACACCGTTTGGCGACGCTTCCTCCCTTTCAACACCACCGTGTCCCCCCGGAACAGCTGCAGCTCCTCCATCTTATCCTAGTGCACAAACAAAACATCTCAACAAAATACACATATGTACATGATATAGATCCACACCCACACACACACTGACCTGTGACAGGCTGACGATGCTGCCGTCTTCATTGTGAGCTTTGCTGAGATCAGTGAGCACTTCGTCCACAATGAGTCTGTTGGGTCTGTGTTTCTGCTTCAGGATGGCAGTGGAGAAATCTTCTCCCTTTGGACTTCCAAACAAGAGACACATTACGACTCTCACACATCATGCAGGCTGTACACTTGGAGCTCTAATTTCCTCATGTGACACTGAGCTGAATTTAGACTCTCTTTGGCTCTGCACATAGCAACTACAGTATATAGTCTGTAAACACATGAAAAGATCCTAATAGTTTATCAATAGCTTTACGTTTAAAGTAATATGACTCCATATTGTTTTAAAACTTGATCAACTGCACATGCAATCTGCACAATTTCTAAGTTACACGCTTTAATTAAACAAAAATACTAAATATATAAGAGTTAGTTAAAATATGTATACACAATCACAGCAGTTGTACTCACTCTGCTCCTCCTGAGCTGGGCATGACTGCTCTCCTTTGTCTGGTCAGATATCCTAAATCTCCACTCAGCCCTGCTCCTTCTCTGTCGTCTGCACTTGTTTACTGTGGGAGTTGATCTTGTATGACCCAATTTCGGCTGCGATCAGTGCCAAAGGTTTCAGGTTCTGCCGGATCTGAACTGCCCTGGTGTGGTTTTGGTTTATTTCCAAGTAGAGGGATCAGTCTTTTCTTTTTTCTATGTTGCCTTGAATCAACATGTTTGTGGGATACGTCAGTGGAGGTATAAATATGCTTCCCTGTTTTATTTGTGAACCAATGATGTGCAATCATACGCACACACAGACTCCAAGCACTTACTTTGCAGTGAGTCCCAGGACAGATATAGCGGCATGACATTTCCACCTCCCAGCAAATGCAGGCACTAGCTTGTCATGGAGAACACTTCCTGACTTTCTGAAATATTGATGGGTCATAACAAATGTGGGTATAGAGCCTATTTCCAAAAGAACAGACTTTTAGTCTGTCTCGTCCGGATGTGTTTCAAACACAGCATGGTCTTTGACTTCTTGTGACTGAAGGGAGCTGCTGTTGTTGGATTCCCTTCCTCACACATAAGCACGTGTGTCAAAGAACATGCACACACACTCAGGATGGACATACTTTGGTGTTTTAATTAAAACTTTTATTACAAAAAAAGTATTTTAACAAATAACTTGAGACACACTGTACATTTCCCTCATGAGAATCTGGACTCAGACACAGCTGTCCTCTACGACAGGTTCAACTATTGACAATGAATTGATTTGATTGATAACAGTGGCAACAAACATAGTAACATACATGTTAAAATAAGTGGAATAACTTGAAATTTAGACTAAAGTACGTGAACTCAAACATTTTTGCTGATCTCAGTACTACCTGTTGTTATATGCATGTTGTTTTCCATGCATTTTTGTTTACATAACAATGTCACCGACACTTTAGCCAACATGATGTCAAAATAAACAGCAGGCTTTTCACTACCATTATACACATTTTTGTTAACAGAGACCAACATCTAATCTATCTTGTGTTTTGGATGTGTGGTCTTTTTTTGTGATATTTTAATATTTCTTTCACATTCTGAAAATTCTTAAGAACAGAATTGTGACAGGCCTACTGTAACGTGTTTCTGGATATGCAAAGTAAGTGAAAGGGAAAGAGGTAGAGGAGGTTTTAAGAACTATTGGTGTGTTGAGAGTGGACTGAAAACATTCAGAACATGACAGCATTATGCTAACAAAACAGAAGATAAACACACAAATATGAGAAAAGATAAACATAATTTTATAATTCATGCACAGAGATACCAAACCTGGAATATTTGTCGTTACAGTGACGATGGGAATGAGACGTGTGATCATTTGGCAGCATTGGTTTTCTAAGGTTTGACCGGTAATAGTTGAAAAATGCTGGTGTTATGAGATTATTGATTGACTCAGCTTCACCCTGCCATAACATCTTTCAGTTAGATAATTGTTTCTCAGTTACTTACAAATGGAGGCTGATGTATTGGATGGACATCATTTTTTATATATTTACACTCTAAGTGAGATCCGATTGTTCTGCTGATTTCAGTTCAGTGAGCCGGCGTGTCTGATCAACATTTCTGAGGCCAGTTTCACAACGATATAAAGACTTGTGTGTAGTGTTAGTCCGGTCTTAATATCCTACTAAGGTGAGTCTAATGCAAGTTACATTTTTTTGGGGACCTAAAATTAAGCTGCCGTACCCCAACGCTAACTCTGAACTAAGAGCCATGTTTCTATGACTACAATCACCTGGTTACAATGGTGACCAGTGGCACCCTACAACTATATAAAGGGTAAACATGGCTCTCGATTCATGATTAGAATAAGAGTAGAGTAATAAGAATGCATGCATATGTCGTTTTCTCATACTGATATTCTGTACAAACTGTGCTGTTATATTTGCTGTAAAGTGTCCTTACTGTAAGGTAATTATTATATGTACAGCACTTTGGCTCGACCAAAAATCGTTTTAAAAATGTGCTATATAAATAAAACTTGATTTGATTTGATGATGATGTTTTAATTTTTTTTACAGTAGATAGGTTTTGTGAATTGTTATTATTGCTGAATTTTCCAAGAAAAAGTGTTGTTTTGATCATTTAATCCTTCCAGGGGGCAAACATGTTTATTGGAGAAACTCTTATATTGGCTATTCTATTGCAAAAAAGTCCTTTCTTAACGCAGCGTCCACACGGCGGCGTGCGTTGAAGATTGCCGGTGGGCGACTGGGCGTGTCTGAAACTCGACCAACAACCAATCACATGAATCTCCCGCCCCGGACACACAAGCACGTGGTTTGATTGGCTAGATCTTGTACTGGCATATGATTTGATTGGCTGACGCTTCAGTCGAAGCTTCAAAAGTTGAACATTGCTCAACTTTTGAAGCGAGCAACGCGAGCAAAGCGAAGCGACGGAACCACAATGCAGTTCGGCAGAGCGTGACGTCACCCCATTCAAAGTGAATGGGCAGAAGCGTTGAAGCTTCAACGCACACCGCCGTGTGGACGGGCCGCCAGACAGTCACTAACGGAAAAGCTTTGTGCGGCGGATTCATTTTGACGTCTCCGAGTCTGACTGGTTTGATCTAAGCCACAATCTGTCTGTGAAACTGGCCCCCAATGTGCTGATGCATAGGTCAGAACAGATAATGCGAGCTCTGCTTAAAAACATTATGTCAAAGAGTTTTGTATCTGAAATATTAAGATAGACAAAATCAACTAACTGCCGATCTGCTGACAAGATCCAACAACCTCTCGAACATCTAGGGGGGAATTAAGAGTTTATTGCTTTGTCCAAGGACCTTGTACAAGGTCATCGACCCTGCACGGGATTTTATCCTTATAGGACGACTGACGGGTCAGCGTGCCAACCATCTAAGTTTCAGGGAATGTTTCTGCTCAATCCAACCTACTATTCCATGCCTCTACACACACTCACAGTATGTGTACAAAACACACACCTACAAGCAAGTAACCCTTGCATCAGTGCCTCAAAAAGCCAACGTTTTTTTTTATAACTTCCACACAGACCCGACCTCTTTCAAAATGTGCATAAAGGTCAGAACAAACTAATATATAAACACAATAAAAACATTTTGCACAGTTTGGTCGATACATTTCAAAGTGCTTGATATTGGGGATATTGCATTATTTTTTGCATCCTCTGCATCTTACATTTTAAGTCTTCTTACTCACTCCAACATTTGTGCTCCTTTTGGCTCCTTTCCAGCTCTACTTGTGTGTGTTGTTTCTGGGACAGAGCATTCACAGTGTGTGTGTGTGTGTGTGTGTGTGTGTGTGTGTGTGTGTGTGTGTGTGTGTGTGTGTGTGTGTGTGTGTATGCTGTTGCACATGAGATGAACATTGAAGTGTATTGTATATCATGCATATAGTTGTATAGTATTTGATAACTTGAGCTATATGTAGATACAACAGACACAACAGTCTGTGTGTATTTCTGTTGTTAACAGTCCTCCTCATCAAAGTGTGTTTTCTGCAGAACCTTTACATGGCGCTCGTAGATCTTGAGGGCGGGGCCGAGTCTGATCGACAGGCCGGTCAAAACATCGTTACGCTGCATCAGGAGTAGAGACTTGCCATCGATTTCCTAATGAAGAGAGCAAAGCAATGTGGGGAGGTAGATGTGGGTTACAGCTGTGAGAGGTTCAAGTACAGACATTAACCCTGTCTCTGGTGTCCTCTAGTGGCCGTTAATGGGATTGACAGGCTCACCTGGGTCCCGAATGCAGCCGCCTGCTCCGGGAAACCTGCTTCTGTGAAATAACTGACCACATCAGACACTGTCCAGTCCATCGGGCTCCCAATGGTCCCCTCGGACTTTATAAACCTAGAGAGATAAGGAAGACGGCGGTTGGCCAATTAAAAACCTGAAGGAGATCTGGAAATCGTAAACTCTTGGAATGAAGACAGCTTAAATAAGGAATGTAGTTTTGTGTTTTATTCCAGGGTTTATTCCCTATGTTCGGATTCATGAAGCATCAAATCATTCCTTAAAAGACTACCCCCTTTTTATTGTCACTCGTGTGCCTTTACAGACATTATACCTATAACACCTGTTGTGGGCGGAGGCTAACATAACATGTTCCTGCAGTAAATACTAATCTGGGAGAGACAACCTTCTGATAGTTTTGCCTATTCTTCTCGAATAATTTACAGAATAGACTGAAACTTGATGATTGGACAATTGGTTAGGAGTTCTAGTGATTCTAGGTGAGCCTGTTTTACACAATGTGCTTGCACTTGCATATTTGTTTTATACCTAGGACAAGGCTATTCAAGAAAGCATTTATTTAGAATTCCTATTGAGGTTGTGTGTATATCTATATATATATATATATATGTTTAAATATTTATAGCTATTTTTTATGTTATTACCTTATCATTATTATTATTATTATGATATATATTTTTTCTCTGTACTAACTTCTGGGTTGTTAAGAGATTTGGATCTCAATAAATAAATAAATTATATATATATATAAATGATGTGTTTGCTCTATTAGAATGGGAGAATTAGCAAGCGTCTTTGAGCACTCGGTAAAGCGCTATTTAATTTAATTAGCTTTAATATTGACACTGCACTGTTTTAGTGTAAACAGGAGAATGATATGTTACGTTCTGATTAATATGAAATGGCTTGACCCTATTTAAAAGGCTATAATCAATATTTTTGATACTTGGCTTTACAGAGCTTTATATTGAGTTGTAACTCATTGTTCACATTGTTTTTGTAACTGTCGTTACACTACTGGCTCAGCGTCAAGCAAATAGAGATTCAGTTAGAGACTAGCAGGTGAACCAAGTGTAGCTTTTAGATGCTAAAGAGACAGATATTTCCCTTAGTAGTTGGTGAAGACCAAATACAGAGGTAAAAGAAAGTGAATATTAGACTAACATTGATCAGAGAGACAGAGACACAACTCCAAAATTACTAATAATGGTGGTATATAACTTCTGGATATGATAAATGGGCCACATCACTTTAAAAGGTGATGCCCTCCCAATGTGTTTATGCTTCCCTCATGTGGCCAAAGGGAAAAGAGGGAAAGAGTCAACTTGGATTACACGAAGGAAAGAACATGCAATGCCTGGTGATTCATTGGCCACTGAAATGGGACTACAGTTGAGTGGGAACGTGCTTTAAGTCAAATTGGACTTTAGTCATAGCGTCTCCAGTATCTCTGCTCTACTCACCCTCCTCCACCGCCAAGTCCTCCGTTCATCCCTCGCTCCTCACACACGCCGGAGTCTCTCGGGGAGGCAGTGGGTGTGAGCAGGCAGGACGACATGCCAACCTCTGTCTTACACTCCAGGCCTACGATGGGAAAACAGAGTGCAGTGTGATCAACTGTCGTCACTGCAAGCCACCAAACGCATACACACTTCTTTTGAGATGATCTGTAAAGCAGAACTCACTGTTAAAGCCTGAGGAGGTGTGGTTGGTTGTGTCATCCTGTATGTGGAGGAGAGAGGGGTTAGGTTCAGGTTCTTTATTTGTACCCGTAGGTAGATTTTGTTTGCAGAGAAAAAGACAAGGGATCCATCCCGACACACTCTAAAAACAAACACAAACAACTGACACAATAAAAGGACTAATAAAAAGTGCAAGTACACCCTGCTCCGTCAAATCTCAAAATATTTCAAAAACATTTAAGAGGAAAAACACGAGTACAAACATTAAAAATTCATAATTAAATAAATAAATAAAAAGGCATCTGTGGGACACTCCTATGATGTGTTAATTTGTGCAATAGCTGCTGGGATAAAACTGTTTTTATACCGCTTCGTTCTACTCCTTGAGACAGCTAACCTCCGGCCCGAAGGAAAAAGCTTAAATTCTGAGTGCAGAGGGTGGGAGTCATCGTCTAATATGGAGCTGGATAACCGCTGTAACTGCCTGAGGTACAGGGTCTCCAGGTTTAGCTGTGGCTCACCAATCAGTCTGCTGGACCACTTTATGATCTGACTCAGAGAGGTTCTGCTCTTTAAAGTCAGGTTACCAAACCATGACATTAACGAAAAAGACAGAATTGACTCGATAAAAGCACGATAAAACATGATCATCATGGTTTTGTCAATGTTAAAATAGGACAGTTTCCTAAGACAGTACAAACGATGGTGCCCCCTTTTGCACACAGCTTCACAGTTTGGATCAGAGCTCAATTTTGAGTCAATAATTGTCCCGAGATATTTGTATGATTGCACAAATTCTACTTTCTGATTCTGGATTGTTAAGACATCATGTATGTGGGGATGTCTTCCCCACATACATGATGCAACTAAATGATAAGCATGACAAAAAGAGGATATCTGAGACAGGGGGAAAATTATGTTAAAAGCATCAGAGATATTCTTGGGTACAGTTTTAAATAATATTTCTGCATCTTACGTGAGTGTGTGTGTGTGTGTGGTCTTTATGGTGCATGTAACATTGCTTCTGATGATGTATTGTATGTATGATGTGTCGTGCGGTGTTGATTTGGTTAATGCATGCGTGCACAAACATAGCGGCAACTGCTTTAAAGACACCCCATCATGCCTGTCAATATTCATGGATGGATTTTACTCACATAATGGAACACATTTTTCTCCCAAAATCATTGAAGAGGTCAACATTGTGAAAGGTTTTCACTTTTGCCCTCTATGAACACTTTCTGTGCACCTTTATGTATCAAATAGAAACACACTGGAATCTGCATCTCTTGTTTTGTTCTCTGTATGCGAGTCCTTTACGCTGCACTTTATTTTCTCCTGACTGCCGCATCAGAGAAAAGGGCAAACAAAGGAGCGTTTTTAAAGGCGCAGTACAACACTTGTGTTCCACGAGACTGTGGAGAAAAATCTCAATTACCTAGGATAGCAAGCACATGTGCTTCAGCTCATCAGGTTAATTATTCTTCATGTTTTTTTTATTTTGTGAGTTTTCAAACCTTCACGAACAATTCTGTGATTATTGATTCATTTTTTTAAAGTGCAGCTGGATGGTTTGCTCTCACTCTGGTTACAGCTAGTCCAAGTGCAACACTGAAAGTGTGTTTTAATTAATGATGAAGAGCACTTAAAGGTAGGGTATGTAATTCACTTCAGAAACACTTTTTGTTATATTCCATGGAATGCTCTTAACATCCCGATAGCAATGAATACCTTAAGTGCTTTGACAATAAATACATTAAATTCATCTGTGGAAGCCGTGGCGCTGTAAAAAGCACGACCAATCATCTGAGTCGGCCCGGCTAAAATAACTGGATGGCCTACCTGCCTGTCAGCCTTCCATCTGTGCACAAACTTATCTCGTGCCCTCATTGGTCATGTGCGCGTTCGTGTGTGTTGGAGGAGGGGCTCTGTAAGGAAGGGGCCGATTTTTTCTGGTTGTGTATTTTCAAATTCCAGCGCACTCGAGCTGGTTTCTCCAAAATTACCTACCCCACCTTTAAACAAATCAAGACATTTACACAGATTACATCTCACCCCCAGTTACATTTAGATTTTTCAATTTCAATGCTTTAGGTTATTTTATGTCAAATATTCCTTTTCATCTGATATGTGTGTATTATTTTGTTGTGTGTGTGTGAGAGTGTGTGAGAGTGTGAGAGTGTGTGAGAGTGTGTGAGTGAGTGAGTGTGAGTGAGTGAGTGAGTGAGTGAGTGAGTGAGTGAGTGAGTGAGTGAGTGAGTGAGTGAGTGAGTGAGTGTGTGTGTGTGTGTGAGGGATGTATCTAATAACTGTTGTGTCTTAAGAAAGATTTGTTATGCAACACGGTGAGCCTTTTGTTCTAAAAAATAATCAAAACTAAGGATTTTTAGTATTTCTGTACATTTCATCATGGTATTTCGAACTTCTACTTCACTACAATTCTGTTATAATAACGTAATAAAAATGAGCACTGCTTTGAACTGCTAAAATAACATGCATGCTAATCCATCACACTAACACTCAATAATATAGCATTTAGTACACGAAACTGGGTTTTGTTCATCAGTACTTTTACTTTCATTTCGGACAAATATTTCGGAACTATAATTAAATAATTCGTTGGTACTTTTACTCAAGCAACATTAATATCTTGAATCAAGGTATTTTTAAACAATAGTATTATATATACAAGTTAGAGTATCTCAATTTAATTCCATAACTGGTGAAGGACTTGAGAAGTAGTACATGTTTTAGTATATTCTTTTCAAAGATGTAGTAAAGCGATGCATCAAAGAATGTTTTATTTCATTGCTGCCGTTATAGTGATTTTGATCGGTAATCATTGATTTAAAACAAGCACAAGCTTTCACTCACATGTGCCTCCTTCTGTAGCTGATCAGGACGGACAGCTCTCTCCTCTAAGTGTGCGCTGTTACATGAGCACAGTGAAGCTCCTTGAACAGGTGGAAGCTCCGTCCTGGTGAGGGAATCAATCCCACCCATCCCTGAGACCAGCAAACCCAGAGGGAAGAGAAGAGATACAAGACAAGCCTTCAATTGTGTTATTATAATAGTTATAGTATTCAAATTCATATTGATTGATAGTTGTTGGAATGATAATTGTGTATTGATATTAACATTCTTATGTAATAATATTTTATTTATACAGTAAATTCACAAAATCGGTACACAAAAAAGTGAGCTTTTACAGGGAAAACAAGGCACAAAATAAACATAAATGACATCAACTTATTTTAAACAGCAATAATAAAAAGGTAATGTAACTAAATGTTTGTACTAGGCTTACTAATTAAAAAAAGGGAGATTAATGGGGTCTTTCCAGGGCGCACATCAACACGCACGTGGACACACCTTTACCCCCGTGCTGCTGCTGGGAGCTGTCCTGCTTTGATGCCGCCTGGATCTCTGGAGCATCTTCTGAGGTTTTCTCAATGAGCTCCGGATCGGTTGTCATGGCTACAGGGGATAGACCTTCCTCCTCGTCTGAGCTCCGGGGATCCTCCTCCTCTTCCCGTTCCTCTTCTTCACTGGCTGTTTCCATCGCCTCATTCTCCCTGGGAGAGGGGGACGGCGGCTGCATTGACAGAGAAAGTTGCATTAAAATATGTCTCCAAAATTAACAAACTGGAGATAAATCATGTTTTCCGAGGTGAAAGAGGCGACACCTGAGTTTGAGCAAAGTTCTTATTCACTGCACCCTGAGCGGAGTCTTGGAAAGAGGACAAACAACTCCCACTCCCACAGGTGGGAAGTGACTAAGTACATTTACTCAAGTACAATGTTGAGGTACAGGTTTACTTGAGTATTTCGATGTTATCCTACTTGATACTTCTACTTCAATATTTAAAAAGGGAATAATTAAATTTACTGAACAGCTTTAGCTACTTTTAACAAAATGCATCTCTAAAAATTAAACTAGTGGACTAAACCTCAAGAGTCAAATTATTTAAATATTTTACAAAAAGTCAATCAGAACTTTGTTTGTCTACAGCAGTAAAATGCTACATGATGCAACAAATCTAGAAATGTCATGTATACACTGAACAAAAATATAAACACTTTTGTTTTTGCTCCCATTTTTCCTGAGCTGAAAGACTCAACGATCTAAGACCTTTTCTATGTAGCCTATACACAAAAGGCCGATTCCTCTCAAATATTGCTCACAAATTTGTGTAAATCTGTGTTATTGAGCACTTCTCCTTTGCCGAGGTAATCCATCCACCCCACAGGTGTGGCATATCAAGATGCTGATTAGACAGCATGATTACAGGCTGGTCACAATAAAAGGCCACTTTAAAATGTGCAGTGCACTTATATCTTTTTAGTTTATATTTGTAATCAGTGTATACATATAATGATATACACACATAAAGGTAAAGTATAGCGACTTTTACTTGTTATAGCCTACTACAAGTAGGCCTACATTTAGCTGATAATAGCCTACTATTGTACTTTTACTTAAGTAAGATTTTGAATGCTGGACTTTTAACTTGTAATGGAGTATCTTGGCACTAATGTAGTAGGCCTTCTTTTAATCAAGTGAAGCATCTGAATACTTGTTCCACCACTGACGCTAACGATAGCCGCCTACAACTCGAGTGTGCACCGTGGAGGGAGGGGAGCGTGCTGTCAGAAAATATCAGAAGGATTTAATGAGGCATAAAACGGAAGAGGAAAACAAAACTACCCGGTTAGAAACGCGCCCTCACAAAATGTTTATCGATGTTACATGAGGAACAGACACGAGGCTGTTTGGTCCTCCGCAGGTCGGCCCGAGCGACACAGAGCGGCAGCGGCACGTCTCAAGTTGAGACAGACACCGCCTCCCGCGCGGCAGGCCCAGTCCGTCCGCAGCCAAAGTTCGTGAGAGCGAGATGCGAAACATAAAGGACCCCAAGCATGATTTGAAGACGACACCAGAGCGGCTCGTGCTCGCGCCGTGCAGAGACGCTCTTAACTGTGCGCGCGCACAGCCGGGGAAGCCGCTATAGCTCCCGCATGTACACACACAACACACATGTACACACACAACACACATGTAGGCTACATGTACACATACAACACACACACACACACACACACACACACAGGCTACACACACATTAACCGAGGCGGCAGAGGACAAACGCAGGCACGGTGGAAAGATGAATCTCTCTAAATGTGTGAAATATGCCCCAAACACTTTTACATGTAAACTATCGACGTAGTAGAACTAGAAACATGAACGAGAGGCGAGCGAAGCCGAGCGCGTCTAGTGGCTTTCGTGCGATTTTAACATCATTAATTTATCAGCGAGCAATCAACAAGCAAGCGTTCAGCGCCCATACAGCCGGGACGTGTTGGAAATATTAAGTTATCGGAGCCCACCTTTGTCACCGTGTCCTGCAGTGCGCTCTTCACAAGTCTGTCCGCGGTCCTCGGCTCCTCCGTCACCACCCCCCTCAGCGGCAGAGTGATGTTCCCGCAGCGGGTCCTGCGTAGCCGGCCCCTCGCCACCTCTCTCTCCATGACCACTTTGACTTTGCCTCGGGTCAGCTTCTCCTCCGACAGCCGCTCTTGGCTGCTCAGGTAGCCCAGGATCTCCTTCAGCCCGAGCGGCTGCATGTGGCCTCTGGTGGCGCTGGTAGAGCCCTCTCGGATGCTCTTTTCGGACAGGCGGCGAACAGAAGCCACCAGTCTGTCGCCCAGGTCGGAGTTGGCGTGGTTCCCCGCTGTTTTGGTGCCCCCTCCTCCTCCTCCGACTCGAAGTTTGGGCTTGAGGGGCGCAGTCTCTCTCTGTTGCTGCGGGTGGTCGCCGACGCTCCCGGAGGAAGTTTTGTTCTGGGTGTCATCTCGGGACAAACACCGCTCCTTTTCTCCCTGAACTGCATCGGCTTTGCTCGGCGTTATCCCGCTGGCATCGCCACCGCCGTCGTCGTGTGCGTGTGTTATGTTACAGTCCCCCACTCCCTGCTGTCCTAATCCCTCGTCTCTAGGTGCACTTGCTTTCTCCTCTTCACTGCCGCTCCCGACCGCGCAGCCCGATGTTGCGCCACAGCTCTGGAACCCGTTTCCGCTACTCGGGCTGGAGGCAGGCTTGGGCTTCTTGTCGGTGGCTGATGTTTGAGTGTGGGGACCTGGGCTGGGCTCAGAGTCCTCCTCTTCCTCCTCCTGGTCGGTGAAGCTGTGCGCACTGTTGTTGTTCGGATGGTGGTGTTTGGTCCGCTCCCTCGCTGCCTCCGCGCCGCTGCTGCTGCTGCCAGCGGCCGTAAACTCACTCTTCTTTCGGCTTTTCCTCTGCACCTTCGCCGCATTCCGGTACGATATGGAGCCCTTGTAGCTAACTTTGAGCACGGTCTGCTCTTGGATCAGTTTCTCCAGTTCTGTCCTGGTTCGGTCCGGGTCTGACCCGTGTCGTCTTCGGACCATTCGACAAATCCTCTCCAGATCGGGACGGGCTTTCCTCGAGCGGAGAGAGTCGATTGTTTCCAGGATCCACTCTCGGTACTTATTGGGCTCGGACATCTTCTCCTGCTGGTGCGGATGGGGTTTGGCCCGAGTGCGTCTTTTCTTCCTTCCTCCTCTTCTGTTTCACAAGTGACGCTATGTCAAAGCAGGGAAGCAAGAGTGCGATCCCCGGCTGGAGAATGAGGACGGAAGCCTGGCTGGTACGCTTTCGTTCGTTGGCCACAATGTGCGCTTAAGGTGGACCGAAGATGGCGCATGTCTCCAGCACAAAACTAAAAATTAAGGTGGAATTGGCTTTGGGCGCATCGGAGTCTTTGTTCGCTGTCAAGATTTGATCAAACCGACGTTTATAACATCTGATTTGACACAAAGAAACACAACTGCGCGGAACAAACAGTGAGGGGGGAGACGTGTTTTGAAGCATATCATGGTGAATCAGACTGAATAGAGCAGTCAACAGATGGGTGGATGTAGGCTCCTTTCCGCATCAGATGGCAATGATATAGATGTCTGACCTCCAGGCTACAACACTAAGGCTTCATTTGAGTTATGTCACAATCTACAATTCACTGTTTTCCAAACTCACAGGAGCTCCACCATCATACAAACATCCAGGAAGCACACACACGTTCAGTAGAATTTTACAAGTAAAACTTTATTGGAATGATACTCATGTTGCAAAATATTACACTTCGTGTTTTTATGTCACTGTTCCCGTGACTTTAGACGCTTCCCTTTGCAGTGTGTGTGTGTGTGTGTGTGTATGTATGTGTGCGGGGGGAGTGGGTTAACATGGTTTACATGGGGGTCTCATTTCCCTAAAAAGTGCGACAGTATGTACCAGCATTGTGCCTGCATCAAGAGGAAGTTGTATCACTGCAAAAAACATCGAGGAGACACGGAATAATATTAGAACTTCAAACATTTTGTCCATGATGATATAGTCAACATTAAACTTGACATGGAGGTAATACAGCGAGTGTGAATTCTCAACAATTGGTTTACAACAATGTCATAATAATAAGAATAAGGAAAATAAAAGTTAAATTAGTCATAATAACCAATAAGCCGGCTGAAACCGAGTGTCAACTTTGTAGCTCTTGCCACCATTAATCTGCCAATATCATTTTTCACTCAAGATTGATCAATGAAATGTTTTTCAGCTGTTTCACATCTCAATCAAAAAGAACAATATGAAAAGTAGTGGGTGTATGGGGGAGGGGATCAACCGTTTTGGTCACCTTGTACTGTGACTCATTTCTATGAAAATAATCCAAATCCTTTTTTTTTATGGACACTGTTGAGGCTACCAACTAGGAAAGCAACTGCCCATAGCCCCCAACAGCCCCAGGTCCACTGTATGAGTTGGTTTGTAGTAATATAACTTAATTAAACACATTACTAAAGCACAACTTTATCTGACACTAGAACGGGACTTTAGATAGATCCTGCTTCTTTACTTGTCAAAGAAAATAGACTATAAAAGTTGTCAGATTGAGTCGCACGTCGACATTAGAATCTTTCCCCGCTCTACCATCCATCCCGTATGATGTGACAGTTATATAAATCCAAGCCTCTGCTGCAAGTCTTTTGCAAGTTTTATTCAAGTGCAACGCTGAATCACTTGCCCTTTAAGACCTTCATTAATTCTGCTAATGATGTGCTTACATGATGCATATTCACAAAGTAGTGTTTAAGTCAAATTACAGCACAGTAAAACTGGGGTCATGTCATATTCCAGCATAGTGATACTGTCTAATGTACAGAGAGAGGGAGGATGGGTTAATAGGGGCCCAGACCCCACTAGCTGGATAATCCGGCCATGAAATGTGGGCTACATAGACCTCACATCATCTCATTTAGCCCACCTTGAATTTACACTGATGTTAACTTGTAAATGTGTCATTTTTAATTTGGACAGGAAGGACTTGTGTGCATCAAACTTATCTGGATTTTTAAAGCGATCAGACAAGAACTGGAGCACCTCTTGGAACCAAAAGGGAACATATTAATTTTGGTGGCACAACACAGCTATGAAGAAGGCATTTTAATGTTTGAAACAGACACTAATGTCACTACGTCTTCTTTGATAAACTCCGTAAGACCACCATTTTGTCGCATCGCTTCAGTTATTTGCCATAGTAGCTCAAGAGCTAAAGAGGCATTGAGCACCTGAAGAGCTTTTTGCACTTTAAACAGGCCGCTTGTATCCTGTGCACTGAGATGTTTTTTTGTATCGTCTGAGCTCTCTTAAACTCCAGGTGCTCTACCTTCTTCTAACTTGTTTAATGGAGTCATCTTTGCATGGAAAAAAAATTAAGCATGTAAACAGAGAGATGGGAAAGAGTCTCTGTCAAATGTAAGACTGTCGCATGGAGTGTGGCTCAACTTAGCAAGTGATAAGAGGAGAGGGCTGGGGAGATGAACAAAAACACATCGAGCACCAACCAGACGCAGTTTTAAGGTAATCTGCCTCGGATGGTCTCTATTCGTGGGAGGGCCTAATGGTTGATTCAAAATGCTGCATCAACTTGACTAGTAGGTGAGCTCTGAGCAGAAACAGCGAGTGCTTTGAAATCAGATTTGTCACGTTTTAAAACCAAATGTTCTGGAAGGAAACATTTGGAAAACGCAAACCAAAAGTCTTAATATTCCCTTATGTTCCTTTAAGTGCTTACCAGAACTGTATATTCCCAAATCTATATCATAAGCAAGTGTCTCACACGTCTTCTTAACCTGCTAATCCTAACGCTTTCTGTTGATAAAATGTCTTATTAAGTGATATGTTCAAACCTGAGATACCATTATGTTATAATGTTCCGTCACTACACCATTAAACTGAGATATAACCATCCAAATGTCCATGTTTGTTAACCTGACATGATATCATTGGAGCCACATTTCAGCCACATGGAGTTCACAAACCTGGCTATGCCTACAATGATAAGAAGTATAGATGGAGTAAACTTTAGTGACCCCCCCCCCCCCCCAAGTGTCACTTGTATCTGACGGAAACCTGTTTGAGCATGCAATGCGTCCACTTTATGTTTTTCTTTTGGCCAACTTCGACTTGCTAACGAAACAACGAGAAGGTTTTCAGTTTAAATTTAAGAAACCTTTGTGCAGACTGAGACCTCGACTTGCACCACGCATCATGTAATTCATGTAACCTGCAGGAGAGTAGAACCGACTTTCTCTGTGATGTGGCCCAAAAGTGACTAAATGATGAATGAAACAATAGAAGAGCCGGGAAGATCTTGTGTTAAAATGTGTAGAGGCAACTCTAAATAAGTGGGCTTCCCAACACCCATGAATCTGAAGCACGCCTTCATTATAAAGGGATCCATAAATAAGACAGAATAATAAATTAAATACAACAGAAAAGGCAACACTGCTGGTTATCAGTCTCCTTGCTCTTTTTCCCTTCTCTATCCCATTTCCCCCCTCTGTTTGTAGCTGGTGCTTGTGATTGGACAGGAGACAGTACTTCCTCCTTACGTCTCCCACTTGACCAGCTTACCTTTGACTCTCCCTACTCCCTTCCTCTCTCACTTTCTAACTCTAGAACTCCGCAAACTCCTTGGCACATTTCTCATTAAAGGAGACACGGATCTCCTCCTCTTCGTAGTCGTCAAAGTTGCTGGTGTCGCCTGGTCCTTTGAACTTGGGGACGAAGGGAGCTTCCACCTGAAGACAACGAAAGGCCCGTTTGAAAAGAGAATTCCACAGAAAGGAAGTCAACGTATATAAAAAGTAAACTCTCACATACCTTTTTCTGGTAGATCGCAATCCAGTCAGTGGTTGCAAACCATTTGTGTCCCTTGATGTCGTTGACCCCGTTCTTGAGGTTTCCGTAACGTTTTGTTAGATCCACCTGGGGATTTAATCAATAGGTTTTCCTCACATTATAATACATTCACAACACACAGCAAAGTAAATGTAGCCTAACACCAGAATGAGTGAGATATTTGCTCTCACCTGTAACAGGTTCCTCAGGAGGTCCTTCAGGTCAGAGCTGAAGTGAGATGGGAAACGCACCTGAGACAGAAGACAAGAAGAAGAAGGAAGCAGCAGGAACGTTTTTAGTTAAAGTTTGAAATAAATCTATTCAACTACAATTTTTGGTCCTGTAAAATAATAAGTAAGTAAAATAATAAATTCTGGCTATTCTGACCAAAACACTACTGCGCAGTGGATATATGAACAAGAGCGACAATGATTCAAGTGCAAGATACTTTCTGCATACTGCATGGAACAGTACTAACTTAGAAAGTGCAGCTGCAGTACGTACTAAAGTAAACATATGAGATTTGGAACGCTGCCACAGGGTCCCAACCTGCTTACATGCAGGCATGTGGTGGCCTGAAGAAGTGATGCATTTCTACATTCCTGACATCAGCATAGGGCCAAGGCGGTATGACAAAAAAACTCATATCACGGTATTTTCCAAATTGTATCGGTATCACAGTATTTATTTATTTTTCAATGATTGGAAATGTATTTACATTTATACGTTTTGGCCCCACAAAAAACACCTGATCAGTGGTGGCCCTTATGAGTCAGAATGCATGAAACAACTGCAACATTTCAGAAAGACATTTCACCAGCGTTGCTTGTTGAAGCAGATCGTATTCTCATACATTCTTCGTACTCCAATAAGTGCTTTCTGTTGAGGTGGTTGAGTTAATTACTTGTGTTACCTCCTCAGGCAACAATTTTAAATTTGACAACATTTGCAATAAATGTTTGTTTGGTTCACGTCAGATTTTTTTTAATCCAAAAAACCTCCAAACAACAGACACAGCTCCTCTCCTTGTCATGTGTATCTCCACCTCCAGTCTCATTTTCTTCAGTGTTCATCTTGACATTCAGCTTCACATGTTATGCTACTGCTACTACGCTTGGCGCTGTATCCCAGCATGCATTTCAGCGGCGTCCCCAGGGGACTCCTTTCAGTACCGTACCGCACCGCTCGAGCGCCCTTCGCCACTTTTTCAACAGTATTGCGGTTTATGAAAAATGAATATCATACCGTATAAAGTTCACGGTACTGGGTATTAGAACAAGAAGTCCTGCTTTGTGTGACAAGCGGTATCCAACATGGCTGAACTGAAACTCAAACTTTACCAAGAGTCTCAAAGGCACCTTGTGTGTGTTTGTGTGTTACATTTGACCCTGACATGCATAGGAAGTATCTTGATAAATAAAGGCATATTATAAGGAGTGAATCAAGATGGCTGACTGCAGCTGTATTCAGTATGTGAACTGAAATCAAGCATTTAAATAATGAAGATATCTTAGATTCCCTGGCAAAAAAAGGGGGATACATATCAACATAAAAGCAACAACAGCCAAATGGTTGTTTCAAACATCCGGACATCAGTCCAGAATTTCACAATCAGTGCATCCCTGATAGTGACTGTAGCACAGAATGGCAATCAGAGTCAGACTCACCTTCCCTGATACGATCTTTTCGTAGATCTGAATGGGCTGGTCAGCAAAGAAAGGCGGGTACCCTGCTGCCATCTCATAAACCAGTACCCCCAGCGCCCACCAGTCTACTGCCTTGTTATACCCCTGGTGGATATAACAAGGGAGGAGGGAAGTGGAGACAAAAAGAGTTCATTATCGAGAGAGAATCAAGGAAATATATCTAGCGTATTAATGTTAAATGATCATATACTCCAATTTCACTTTGCATCCCATCTAAAGGCTTGGATGTAAGAGGTATCATTGTCATACACAGTGTCGTTGGCAGTATTGTATTAATTACAAATATTCCTGTGGTTATTATATTGAAGAATAGCTATGTAAGGAATCTTACTGAGAGCAATGAATAAAGGTGACATCATGATTTCTTTCATGTGTTGCATCCAAAACACATTTAAGATGTGTGCCATCTATTGATGATCATCAACATCCCTATATGTTTCTATACGTTTTGAATCAATATAACTGTAACCATGTGTTTCATATCTGACGACTCAAATGAACAACTATCCAGTAAAAAATCGTTGTTTGTTTAAATGTAAAATATCTTGTTTTAAGGGAGACACAGGTGACAGCTAACACGATATAAAATGGCATGGTTGGCTCACCTTGCTGAGAATGATCTCTGGGGCCAGATATTCTGGGGTGCCACACAGTGTCCAGGTCCGGCCCTTTACACGTTTGGCAAAGCCAAAATCTGTCACCTAAGAGAGGGAAAAAAATGACAATGACAAATATTAAGAGTTTTAGGAAGGAGAGACAGAGGGAAAGAGAGGGAGGGAGTAGAGTAGAGCAATGGATTTTTTCACCAGTTGTTATTTGACTATTTACCACTAGAGGGCAGCAGAATCTGCGCTACAACACCAACTTTCTTTAGTGTACACTTTAAAATACAGTACAAACCAATAGATGAAAAAAAGGATAAAACTATTATTTCACAATGAATTTTATAGCTCCAGGGTTTCTTTTTCAGGGATTATGTTTTATAAATTTAATAATTGACACATTATATATATGTTTAATGTTTGCACTTAGGTAAAATGGTACTATATTCATTCAATCTAAACAAACATGCACAAATGCAGACTTAAATGTTCTGTTTTTCAAATAATGTGTGTTATGTTCAGGCAATGGACTGCAGAGCTGCATGCATCAAGGTGTATGGAAAGACACCGCTAAACCCACTTTCGCTTAAAGCGTTGTCCTTGCATCTCTCTCTGTACGGACTGTTACACTTCGAAATACAATGACAGTCAACAAATCAAAAACTACAGGTTGGTCTTTTTTCAAGCAACCAGTGTTCCTCTATGACGTGTTCTATACACATAACTTTTACCTGTGTCTAGTGTTAGTGTTTGGAACGACAACAGTTCTACAGAGATACTCTTGCTGCAGCACACTATATCAAAAGTAACAATAATTCCTGTCCAACATTTCATTTCATATCTACCCCTTACTAAATAAACAGTGGACTTCTCAGCAGGGGCGAAGTCACTCAATGCCTAAAATTAGCAGGCCCCAAATGTACATTTTCCTGTAACTATGGTAAATTATTCAATACTCAAAACTGAAACTAATTAAGATTTTTTTTCAAACTCCATAAAATCTCTTGGGGAATGCTGCACTCAACACCATCTTTCTCCTTTCATTAAACTGATTCTTCCCAACAAAGCGATTCACAGAGATAGATGAATATTTCCAACAGAGCATCACTGGTGTGATACCACTACAATCGAAGCACTCTTTTAGGCTAAATCGTCAAATGTAAATTTGTACACTAGTAATTGTTTCCTATTTGCTTCCATGTGGAGGTTTAGGTTGTTTATTTTTGTATCAAAGTAAGTTGCAATTTTATGTTTAACAAGGTAACCCTGAATTTCCCCTGGGTTATAAATAAAGGTCCATCTATTAAATCAATTAAATTGCAACAATCTGAGTGTATATCATTCATATAGCAGTAATTGTACCAACATTTGCTACACATTTGTCTTTCAAGTGAGCTCCACTTTGGCTAAACTCCATCTTTGTTGGTAAAAGTCACTGTAATTGCACTGATAAGTGACATGAGAAATTGTGTGTACACTGTCTTTTTGTGAATTGAATTATGTCAGTCTAATACAGTCAAATGTTTAGCTGACCAAACCGATCGCAGTTTTTTGAAGGCAAATTAATTCTAGAATTGCTATTGGAGTGAAAATAATGGCATTATCCCAAGAGTTTAGAAGTCTTTTTGCTGCTACATAAACCTGACGTTTTCAGAATTGTTTTCATGGTTACATTTTAAGTCTGACATTGGAGAAAGTGTAAAGCTTTACCTGTTTACTTCATCCCTGTACAATATGATGAACAACTTGAAAGTCAGCGCTCAAATACTAGAGTAATCCATTAGTTTGATAATCTATTGACTGTTTTTTTTTGTCTTGGTTTTGGTCACACAATACAAAATGTGTAATCAACACAAATCTAAGAATTCACACTTTTTAGATAATTTAAAGAGCATACAATGAATCAGTTAGTTGAGGAAATAATGTACAGATACATTGGTAATGAAAATAATTTCAGTTGCAGATCTAATAAATATGAATTCATCTCCATCAGCGTTAACGTTTGCACACTGCAAAAAAAAATCTTAACGGCCACTGGGACACCACAAGGCTAGCATCATCATCATCACTTGTGAACTCCCAATGCTGTATAATGACTGATTTAGTGCTCTTGCAGAAAAATCATATGAATACATATAAACAACAGCCTTCCGAGTAGGAAATCTATGATCCTCTTTTATATCAGACGATCAGGTCTTGTTTTATTTCACCTTTATTTAACCAGGATTATTTACCTGTATGTATCCCTGTTGGTCTATGAGCAGGTTCTCAGGTTTCAGGTCTCTGTAGATCAGGTCCAAAGCGTGCAGATACTCGAAGGTTAGGACGATCTGAGCAGCGTAGAAACGAGCGTGTGGCTCACTGCACACAGGGAGAGTGACAGTTAAGTGGAGAACAAAAAAGAAGGGAAAATAGTACAAAAACATTTAAAAACACACAGACATGCTAAAACAGACATGAGAGAACACAGCTGTAACGTATAGAATAATATAGACTACAAGAGAATAAAAACAGGAGACCACAGCTCAATGAGATGACAGAGCTCCCTAACTTCCCTCTGCATGTGCCCACAAAATGCTTCCGGCTGCCATCTCCTTCGACACTAACCTAAATCTGCCAATTCTCCGTAGATGGGAGAACATCTCTCCACCTGGAACATACTCCATCACCATGTAGAGGTTAGTGTTGTCCTGGGGAGGGGAAGACAGAGGACCTGTTAGTGACATTAACTTATACACACACATTTGAACAGACACACACATGCACGCACAGGATGGGCAACAGGACAACATGGAAACCCTATTTTTGGGGGTCAATATAAATGAATCCACTGACCTTTTTTGTTAAAACCATAAAAAGCGATAAGGTGTCAGTCACTCTGTATCTTATACATTCATTAAGATGTGTTATATTTCCAAAACCCTATTTGAAATTCATAGGTTCTTTAGTTCTTGATTCTGAATCGCTCAGTGATTGTAGGCTAGTCAAATGCAAGTTTATTCATTCCTATGTGAACCTCTGTATGCCTGTGCAATTAGCAAATTAGCTAACAAGCTATTTCATTTAATAGGACTAGATAGGATAGGATAGAAATTGCTGGACTATGTTGATCAAATGAAGTATCCATATAATTAAAATCAAACAGTGTCAGGTAGTTAAAATGTATTTTTCAAGCTCTATTACTAAAGCACATTAATAAAAAGCAACACAATGCGCTTTACATGGAAATGAAATATAATCATAAACTACAAAATAAGGAAGTTCCATAAAATACAGGATACACTTACACAAACAGGTTCACACACACACACACACACACTCACACTTCGTCACCTACAAATTGAAGACACATGAGCTAGGAAGTTATGCACAGACTGTTGTGTAGAGCAGAGAGATACAAGCTGTATATTGTCAAGGAGGATTTTATTCTTCACCCCGTTCTCATTTGACACTTGCAAATATAAGAAACTGTTGAATAGCTCTGACTAAGCAGAGTTACTATTCTGTTAATAGGTTTATTTGAGGTATCAAGGATATTCTATCCCGGTCATCCAAGATCAATCTGATCAGCTTAACCTGAATAAGGTGTTTATATAGTCCAACTCTCCACTTCAGTATATTTTCTTTTCTTCAACAATCAGCTTAGATCTTGATTGAGCTTTAAACAGACAAATTATACCCTACAGAATAACTGCATTCATTATCTGGGGACAATAACCCAAACCCCCCAACATAGTGTTAAAAGCTGTGAAGCAAACAAAATGTTGAGTGGCCTTAGACATTTTTGATATGCTATGCTTTATTGAGTAAAGAAGTTTTAAGGTTTTAACTTCACATGTAGTGTTAAGAGCCTTATTTGAAAAAACATTGTTCAACAGATAAAACATAACGTTAAAGCCATAATGAACTCAAAGCTAATATTTAGATGAATACTTAATACATTCATTTAAGGTGAAAAAATGATTATATTAAACAGCCTGTTAAACATGGTGTTTTAAAGATGTGTCTGAATAAATGGTTGTGTTACATTTTGAATGGAAAATGAGTTCTGTTTACTGTGCCTTTGGTCTTCCAGGCAACTACATGTACAACGTTTATTTCAGTGTGGAGATTACATGATACACGATGAGTTGGGCAGCGGAACAGATTTCCGACTGCCATTTAGGAAAGTATACTGCCTGAAAAATAACTGAAGTTTTGTTATTTTGAGAGCTATTTCAAGTCGAGAATTGTTACTTTATTCAGACTTTTGACTTTAGACCGGTGGCTGATGATTATTTTGGATTGCATGTCGTCAACACGGCTCTATAGTGGCTTATTGGAAAGTTTGGATGCCACTACAGATAAAAGGAAATGCTAACATATAGTATATAGACAAATAGTCTTCAGCAGTCAGGGCGAGACACACACACACACACACACACACACACACACACACACACACACACACACACACACACACACACACACACACACACACACACACACACACACACACCACACACACACACACACCACACACACACACACACACACACACACACACACACACACACACACACACACACACACACACACACACACACACACACACACACACACACACACACACACACACACACACACACACACACACACACCACACACACACACACACACACACACACACACACACACACACACACACACACACACACACACACACACACACACACACACACACACACACACACACACACACACACACACACACACACACACACACACACACACACACACACACACACACACACACACACACACACACACACACACACACACACACACACACACACACACACACACACACAAAGATTCTGTGTACCTTGAATGAGTACTCTAGTCGCACCAGAAAAGGGAAGCTGACAGCCTGAAGGATCCTCTTCTCATTCAGAGTGTGCTCTATTTGTTTGAGCTTCACCACCTGAAAGGCAAACAATAGGGATGGAAAAAGGAGAGTTTAGATTGTAACAAGAAATGAGTTTTAACAACAATAAACAACAGCCACTGTACGGATACCTATGGATAGAACAAATAAACTGTGTTCCCATCCAAAACACTGTGAGCTATGCATGTGTACTTCGTTAGATAACACATGAAATAGCTATAGCTTAGAAAGTAAACAAAGGCAACTAAGGACAAAAGGCAATAGTTCAAAAATTATTTTAAAAAGTGATATTAAGTGATATTATTATCTTTATTAACTTCTGTTGTTTGTTTACAATTACATTCAAATAAAATTCAGTGTGTATTATAACTTTTTAATTTCTAAAGAATAAATGATTATGTACTAAATTAATGAATATGATCATGTTCTTACTATAATTGTATTAAATAATTTTATTTGGTAAAGAGTACTTGCTAATGGTGTTTCCCCCACATCCTAATCTTGACTCTGTACAGTCTGCAGCTTTTAGGCTCCACATGCTTTACCTCAATGTCTTTAGTTTATGGCACTCATGGCCAACAGCTGTCTATCTATTTTTCCATTTTTGTTTGCTTTTGATCAGGTTATTGACCTGGCTGGCACTATTACATTGTGAATAGGTCAGCATTGCACACTTCATGTAAATAATATCCTACTTTTAAATTGTGTTGGCTGTATTTGGCCCTTCATAGAGCTTATTGGTCAGACAGTCTACAGATGTTTATCTTTCACAGTCAACTTGTATATATTTTACTTTTTAGTTCCGTTTTCTATTTTGGGATGTTTCTATTGAATTTGTGTTTATTTTCTACTCTTTTGATGTGCAATGTCTTTGTTTTAACATGCTGCTGTAACAAACACATATTCAAAAAGTACCATTTTATTTCATCTTTTGTTGGTCAAGCGACACATTCACACATCCAATTATTTTAAATGAGGTTCATTTGGATAGTATGACTAAATCCATGAAAATGTACTTTTCCTATGAGTATTTTCACTTTTCACTTTCAAAGTAAACTAAGATAAAGGTCATGGGGGGATTAACACGATGGTAAGATCAATACCATTTAGATACTGAGGCAGAGGAGGGTGCCTGCTCTTTTAGTAATCAGACACACTACTAAAAGTATACACTAATTATAGTAAAAAAACGACACTTTGAAATACAGGCCTGAATAGGATGAACATACTATAAACAGGAGGAATATATTCTAAGCAGGTGGCATCAAATTGGCCAATTACATCAGCTGCTTGTATCCTTTAAAGGAGGGCTGTCTCTCTCCAGATGCAGAGACAGGAAGTAAAACAAAGACATGTATACCGTTTGTTATATAATATAAGGAACTCTAAATGAGACTATACAGAAACCTAAATATATATCAGATTTCTTTATTTCTATACCTGCTAGGAGTCTGGCCCAGCATGCATTTGGTCAAACAGTTAGCCATGTTTCCAGCACATACAAAATGTATACAAAAACAACATTTGCTTTCACTATTTGGTGACTTATTCTGTTAACCTGCATGTATTTTGACTGTATTAATGTGGTAAAAGAACCTAAGCCACTTGGCAAAAACAGGCATTTCCATTCGCATATGTTATCTACAAAAATATTAAGCCCATCTATAAATATTAGATCATTAAAGGGGATCGGAGCAGGGACACTTTAATTCTAAATTGGGAATCAAAATGGCTCTACTTGATGTGATTTGCATAAAGACAACCACGGCTCAGCCACTCCAGCCGATGCCTGCTTCATCACAAGCGGGTTCAAAGAGGTTCAAAGGGAAAAAAAGGAATAAAGGCTTGCACCTGTACGAGAGTCTCTGCATCTTTGCACCAGCATATTGACAGGATTTGATATCCACGAATATTTCAAGGCTTGCAAGTTCATTTCCACATCAATTGTAATTTCCTTATTTTCTATGAACATACTGCAAGTGTCCCTAAATGCCAGTTAACACCCTCCATCCCGACTGACCTTCTGCTTGTTGAGGATCTTCATGGCATAATGCTGTCCCGTTTCTTTGTGCTTCACCAGCATCACACGGCCAAATGAGCCCGTGCCGAGGGTTTTCAACCTCTCAAACTGCTCCAGGCCAGCCGTGTTCTGAACAAACATTAAGGGTTAGTGGATCTTTGTGAAACTGGAGGGCGAGTGTTGTGGCGTGGAAAGTGAAGTTTCATTTGCTAATGTGTCCAAGGCTCACATTTAATTTCTAACATAGTTTATGTATGTTTTTGTACAGGTTAGCAATGACCAAGTATAATCACAGAGTAAATCATGTGTATCAAGCATGGTATATATGGACTATGATAGTATTTTTAAAGTATGTAAAGCATCAAAATGCATACTTGATATTTCGTATAAGTCCTGATTGAGATCATCAACATAAAGTTTGCAAAGGAGTCACCCTGTCACATGTGAGTGTGTGTTTTTTCATAACTACCTGGTTAAGAGAAAAAGGTAAATATACACAGATTATGAAATACTATCATAGTGTCTGTAAAATATGTCTTAAATCTTTGTTGCATAGTAGCCCACAGAACATCCATGGCTTGTATAATACTCCTAGGGTTTAAGGATACACTTGAAATTAAAACCACAATCTTAACAAGGATTTCTAAAATGTCTGCAGATGAAAAGGATTGTAAAGAATGCATGTAAAACAAGCCATATATTGTTCAATGCAATGCTATCCATTACATGTGTCATAACTCATCACATATAAAAAACACAAAATCAATTTTAGAGGAAATAGGGCAATATGGTTTTGATCTAAATCAATGATGAAACATCACCCAACATGTTTTACAAGTATATAGAAATGTACATTAAAAGTGGGAGATAATACAAGTCACATTCCTGTTATTGAGATGAACACTAACCTGTGCAGGGATCTCCCACTTCTTTAGAAAGTCCTCTTTGGCTTTAACAAGGAACTCCTTGACTATAAAGGACAACATCACAAAGGAAAGATGTTGGTGTGTGAAAAGAGTTGAAAAACCAGAAAATAAATAGGATACATCTGGTGTTAAATGATAATAAGTTGTAAAGAGCAGGTATGCTTTCTATAGCCCAGGTAACACCAAAAGAGGAACAATTGATAGGATGGCGTGCAACAGGTGCCAAACAGGTTGAAACATGAATCTAAACTTAAACAACTGAGCTATATCGTTTAAGATTAAACTTTGTGTTTTTGTGTTGTTACTTGTCATAGTAAAACTGTTGTAGAACTTCCAATGGTAGATCTCTAAAGTCTAGGGATATAAAAGAGAAGGGCCTTTTACAGGCAGTAAGGAAAGAATATTTGAGTTGCATTATGGGAAATGTAGAAAGCTGTTAAAGAAAAGACAATCTGTGTCTTTGCTGCTTTATCAATCTCTTGTGAGTATCCAGCTATTTGAAAGTGTAATACTATATCACAGGACAAGCATGCTACTTAAGTGAGAAAGAAAACAAAACTAATTCACACAAATTTAAATCAAACATTTCCTGAAAACAGATCAAAGGTTATAACTAGCTGTGTGGATATGGTAGGGATAAGTGAACCATAGTAATGCCACAGAAAACACTTTTTAAATCAAATTTCAAGGACTCTCTTCATCATCAATGTAAGTTGTTTGTTGAAAAACATATCTGGTTGAAAGGACACCGTTTTAATAGTGATGCACGGTTGTAGCATGCTATTCAGCTGCTAGCCATATACTCAGACTGGCTTGAGTATGAGATACACACACACATCTGCATTTATTATGCATCACTGCTGACAGACATTTAAATAATAGTGGCTTTAGTTGATGTGTCATTGTAAAAACCGTGGTGAAAACTAAATCAATACCAGTAATATTTCCTTGGATTCACAGTACATCAGACACAGAGACAAACTCAGCAAAACCTGCAGACTTTTTGGGATTCTCAGAGAATATATTCAGCTCACCCACACACAGTTAAAGCAGCATCTCTTTCCAAATGTGTGGAGAAACAGGCCTAGTGTTTGGGAAATATCTGACAGTCAGAGTGTTATGATATTGCCAATATTTCAGCACATTGAATATTCCAAGATGATTGCTGCTTACAACTGCAGTTGGCAGTTGTTCAGCTTACAGATAGATTTGGCTATGGAAACAGATCAAAATCCTGCTTCGTCCTACCTTAGCACACACATAAATTCAATTCAAAACCTGAACAGTAAGCCTGAGCCTCATTTGAAGAGAGATTCCCTTCCATCTACATACAATGCTCCTCGATTTAAATGTGCAGGGCACAGGCTGATACAGCAGCGAGGACTTGTCATGGACGTACGAATGGATCTTAATGAATGGGAAAGCAAGAATCTAGGCCTCTAATTGACAGTGTATGGCTTGTTATGTAAAGCTAACATAGCCTGCTGTATAACATCGTCTCTGATCATTTCATGAGGCTGTTACAGAGCAGGTGTTTGCTCAGGAGTAGTGTGTATTTTACCCACCGCTTTCCATCTCGCTGCCCTTCCTGGCCGTGGGCGCGTTGCCCATGATGACAACTTGTCAACGGGCGATCCGTGGCTTTTTGGCCACCCTACAGCCTTGGCACGCCGGTCAAAGCTCGATTAGGTCTGAATGGTGCTCCTTAAATCCAGCTGTTATAGTTAGCAAGCGTTCACTCCGAGGTTTTGCTCCTTAATAGGCTGACAGCTGCTGATGCGGTGCCACGGAGATGCGGTGCCACGGAGAGACGGTGCAGCGGACTCACTCACTCCACGGTCATCCCTCCACCGGCGACCGGAATCGAGTTTAAATCCACGGGGAACTATCGCTGTGGTGTCTCGGTCGCTGGGGCTTCACTGGACTGCCAGGCCGACCTCGGCGCAGTTGGCCTGAACACGGAGGATCCAGTCTTCTCCTGTCCCTCCTTGCAGCCCCCTCCGAGCGAGGCCCCCCGGCTCGCCACCTCTCCCCCAGCCCAGAAAAACAGCTATGCCGACGGCGGGGATGCAATATTATCAACCAAAAGCCTTCCACCTTTCGTTACCGAACCCAGCTTTTAAAAATGGTTCCTCGGCGGGCTCCGACAACGACGGGAATTCGCCCTAATCAACATTGGCCCCCTGTAGCCTCGGAGACGAGCGAGATGACGGAACTACAGCCGAGCGAACGTCCCGCCTACCCGCCAGAATCGGGGTTGAATGACAGCTAGAGCTAGGCAACTGATTGGCTACCTTTCTACAGCGCTGTCCCATGGAGCGTTGTAATTGGTCCTTTGCAATCCATCACCAACGGTAGCGTACCGCCGCCATACAAATAGCAAGCGACGGGAACGTCAGTGATTATTTTCCTCCCGACGACGAACGCGCCCACTTACTCCGGTTGCTCTCCTCCATTGGCTTGGCGTGGTCGAACCGTGGGAATCTCGGTGAATGCGTGGATATCTATTGGCTGTATTCAGTGGTTGACAGGAATGCCCCCCCCCCCCCCCACTCTTCCAAAAAAAACTTCCCTCCCCGAGCTCTCATACACCCCCTCTCCCCGCCGCCGAGCGACTGATACACGTTTGGCTGAGTGACGTCAACAGCGAGCTATTTATAGAAATGTTGGTCAGAATTTAACGCACGCGCCGCGCGGCTGGCAGGACTTCTGAACAGATCGCAGACGGTCGTGCATGGAGGGGAGAGTTTATCTGGTAGGAAGTGAATCACAGGAATAAACCGATTTTACAATCAGTGTTGGCTGAAAACACGCAGAGCCTCACACTCTCAGTCTGTGTGGACCGTCAACGGTTACAGTCAGACTCTTCGAACAGCATCTCGTGTCATCCGCACCTTCCGGTGTACCAAATGCCCAAGGGCCCCTTATTATCATGATCCTGAAAAGCCTCAATTTCACATAGATTTGCATCTAAATATCACATTTTAAGATTGATTTGAGTCTATAAGTCTGAATTTAAAAAAAGGCCCATGAACAAACACCCAAGCTATAAATAAGACATCCCTACAGCTACTGCAGGGTCTGACACCATCATATTATGGCTCTGCAGCCTTCTACTTTATTTTATATATATTCTATAAGCCTAAACAGGCGTATAAGCTACAACTTGTAAAATATTAAGCCCTACATTCATGTGACATCTCAGTGTGTTTTGATTATATAATAAAGCTTTTATTTATTATCAGTGCTTGTTGAACATTTAATCAAATGATTTATGTGGCACCTCTGGTTTTCAGAAATGCAGTGGTGGGCTGCAACCATAGACTGTATATAAAGGCTACAACCATGGTGTTATTGTCATTTTGAAAATAAAAAACCAGGAGGTAGGTAAAATAGAACCAACAACGCAAAGCAGATAAGGACTAGTATCAAACTGACATGCTTAAAATACCACGAGTAAAAGTGAATGGATTAGCTTGTGAATTTCTCCCCTGGGATCAATCATATCTTAATTTATGATAATGCATCATTTTTCAGATTATTATTTTTCAATATTATTAATCTGATATCAAAAGACACAATCTCATACACAATCCTTGTATTGGTCTAAAGTATATTTAAAGGTCCATTTAAGGACCATACAATTGAACTGTGGTTAACGCACCCAATACATTTCCTCCACTCAGGCAGGAGAAGCAACAATTGATTTTGATACCAATTTTAATGTATGCACCATTTTACATACAAGACTACTTATTATAGATTTGCTTTACATTTTTTAGATCTAGACCGCAGCTATTCAGTCTTGCTAAACAGTGAGAATAGTAAAAGGACAGAAGTAACAGATGAAGGCAGAGGAGCCAGTCCCTTCACCTCAGAAGAGATAAAATCAGTGAGCAGACAGCCCCCCTCCCTTTTGTGCTGCAGTTGCCTAGCAACATGAGGCTAGAGTGAGAATGGTGGAGTGAGGCTGCTACATTTTATGAATGAAATTGGAAAAAAGAAAGGGCGCCAGAGAGGGGAGGGGAAAGAGTGGGCGACACACACACTGCTGTTGCTGTGCTCTCCTTTCCTCTCCTCTAGGTGGAAAGCAGCTGTGTAAGTACGATGTGATGACCACAAAGCAGCACTAGGTTCACAAAACAAACTTTATTAACCCCATCACTGTTACAAATACTGAGGCAGAGAATATATAGTAAGTATAGAAAACATGCCTTCCCTTCCTGAAGACAAAATAAGCGCTGAGAAAAAACATTATTTACAGTTAGCCTAAAACACCCAAACAACATGGCTGCAACACAGAATCCATTTCTCCTTTGTTTCCTTCACCTACATGGTTTGTGCATAATTACAGACAGACATTTTTTGTAACATTTTAAAGAACATTATCTGACCTGGAGCCTGTTTAAAGAGGCTGTTTTACAGACTATTAGTAAGCGTTTAACAAATAAAAGCTACTTCTTGCAACAGGCCCCTGAACACGGCACATATTTCATACCCAATATTGTTGAACATGTAATTCAAATGCTACAAATCTAGCTCAGAGGAGACAAACCTTCAGAACAATTATTTATTATAAGCAGCTAGTGCTACATCTATTCTGACATAGAGTACTGCCCATAGATTTGATCTGTGCTCCAGAGGACAAAATGAGCAGCACAGTATGAGTATGACTTGCTGTGAGGATTTGGTGGTCTTAAGATCACCCAAACTTGAGGCCTTTTAACTTTCTCTGACTCAGCTTTGACATTATCTTATACAGTAAAATAAGGCAATGTTGGTTGTGCAGGTCGGTGTGTCGAAATGCACAAGAGACAAAAACATTTTGTAATATTTCCAGATCCATCCCATTTGTGTGTGCTGTATAAAAATATTGTTCCTGCTGCCATATCCCTGCTTCCTGTTAATGTCCACATGTTGTCTGGATAAATCCATGGCCTCTTTGTCCGAATGGGTGTTTTCACTGTGGTTGAGTGTATTGAAGGAAGAGCTTCTTGTCCATTATGTTATTCTGATGATTCTTACATGCAGTCCATGGAGTTCTCCGGCATCAGCCCAATAGGTGGCATCTTTCCTGGTAAACAGGACGGAGGGAGCATGCCGCTGATGTTGGGAGACGGGTCAACATTTTCACCGTCCTCCATCTTGTCTGCTGAGCCCTCCCAGTTGATATGGAAACGGGTGACACGGGGGTTTGAGGCCAAAATGTTCCTCAGGAGCTGAGAGAATTTGTGAAATGACAGATTTACTTTTTATAGTTGAGATATCCTCACTTTTAGTCCCAAATATGGGTAAAGTCTCAACACTTTTCTTAAAGGTAGGGTAGGTAAGTTTGAGAAACCGGCTCGAGATACACTTTTTGTTATATTCCATGGAATGCTCTTAACATCCCGATAGCGATGAATATCTTAAGTGCTTTGACAAAAAATCCATAAAAAAATGTCATCTGTGGAAGCCGTAGTACTGTAAAAAGTACGACCAATCATTTTAGCCGGCCCGGCTAAAATAACTGGATGGCCTACCTGTCTGTCAGCCTTCCATCTGTGCACAAACTTATCTCAGGCCCTCATTGGTCATGTGCGCGTTCGTGTGTGTTGGAGGAGGGGCTCTGTAAGGAAGTGGCAGATTTTCTCCGGTTGTGTATTTTCAAATTCTAGCGATCTCGAGCCGGTTTCTCAAACTTACCTACCCTACCTTTAATGGAACTAAACACCATCTTTTCATTAGTGCCCACCCGCTTGGTAAACATGCGATGACTGCAGGATTGTGGACCTATAGCCAAAACTGATGTAACCTTGATGGCTTTCCATGCCAGAAAAGAAAGAAAGACAGGAACATCAGGAACTTTTTTTTTAAAGTTGGGATCCCTGTCAGGTTAATATAAAAAGGTCCCTTTTCCACATACAGTATAAGTTACACAGAGCATACTTCAGAGAGTCATGGTCAGTGTTGAGTAGGCTTCTGTTCCACTGGCTTGCATTGACGCTACATCTTTATCAGGCTGAGAGTTAATGGAGTTTGTACTGTAGGTGTATATTACAAGCTAAATAAGTAAATACTTTTTATCCCTGATATTAGAACCCCTCACTTATTATTTCAACCAGAAAGAAAATGTTTGTCTGCATTCAACACCTTCAGCTCTCATGGAGTTTTGACAATGCCCACTGTAGCCCAGAGTTGAATGCAAACAAAGTGTAGGTTATTTTGTATCACTGTTAAAAGGCAAACGAAAGCCATTATCAATATTTAGCCAACTGAAAATGTTTGTGCAAGGCTAATAAAAAATCATCCCCCTTTATGTTTTAACTAACTCTAACCTGCATTGAGCGGTATAGGGCTGCAAATGGGGATTCTTTTCATTATCAATTAAACTTTAGTTTTTTTTTTATAATCAAGCAATCATTCAGCAAAACTTTTAATTTCAGAATAAAAGAGCAGAAAGCAAATTATAATCTCTAAGATGCATATATTTGGGGTCTTTGACTTACTTTTGCGTTATACCAACAGAAAAATAAGAATTAAGAGAGAACAACTAAAGATAAGGAAACATTTACTTCATACAGTATATATATTTGAAGTTTATGTTATACTCTTGATGCCAATGTATCCTGTCATTTCCATTTTTATAGCACCAGAGGGCAGTAAAAACTGTGTGTGCTTAAAAGACCCTTTCGACAAGCATGGCCTATCACTGTAGTGTATGTCTGCAGATTGTTGTGAGTGGGCTTCCTACGCTTCTATCCATAAAGTAATGCAATGCCGGTCTTTGCTGAGTGTATGCATGTGTTACCTGAGCGTAGTCTGGTTTCAGAGGTGGGTTTTCCCTTAGTTCAGGATCTGTGTATTCATTGTTGACATAGTAACCGATGCGGATGAACTCCTGTCCACGGTAGGTGCAGGTTATAAGGACAACAGTCACTCCTACAGCGTCAGTCTCTGGAATCAGCCCTGTGTTAGGAGCATCAGCCTGGGGGTACGAGAGGAACATTACAAATAAATAAATTAGATTAAACTAGACCAAAGTATTTATCCTATTAATGCAGCACTGGGCAAAATGAAGAACAAAACTAGGGAAATCAAACACTTTTACCCACATTTATTTGGTGAGAAGTTCTATAATTCCCTGTGGTCTAGCTTTAAGAGAAGAGAAGTAACACGTGACAAAAGCTTACATACCTGAAACACAAACATGTGTCTACCAGCCGGTACCGGGCCGACTAGAACAGAGTCCAGAACCTGGTCGTATTCCTCGCTCTCAGCTGAACCCACATAGATGATCTTCCACTCAAGATCTGAAACCATACACAACAGTGAGACTTTCAAAGGTGAACAGAATAACATCTGCAGTGTATTTAACAACGCTTCTCGTTGCAGACCTTATATATTCAATGAAAGCAGAATACATTTCATTCACTGTTCGAAACAGTGTAGTGTACAGATTTAAAATATGCATTAAATACAGAACTTATGGCACATTTGTACTTTCGACCCTAGAATTGAGGTATAGGAGTTGGTAAATCAGGGGACAGAGGGGGATCTGTTCAAACTTAAAAAGGTATCTAGCAAGGCAATATGGTTGCATTCTTTGACATTCCCAGTTATGGGACTTCTGCCACCATTACAATATTAGCTGAATATCAAGTAACATGACCTAAGAAAAATAGGTCCTTGAATTTCCAGTTTCACCATTGGGCCAAATATCTACAGTAAAAATCAATAAACTGATTTGCTTCACCCGAGTTCATACTGACAGTATGCACAGTGTTATGAGTGCATTTATACCCCTTATACAATCAAAAATATGTTGTTCAAAAACTCACTACAATAGATCCAGTTACATAGGTTGATGAAACTTAATATTTCCTGGTATGCTTACAATTGATGTCACCATCGATTGCTTGCATTCCCAGAAAACACTCAGTTTCCAGTTTATAAGTTACACCAAACAAAAAATAGTATGGTGCTCCAAAAGAATCCCACTTTATTAAGGCTATAAATGTTCAGTTTGTGCTGAAACGGTTTGAGTAGAATCAACTGTACAATAACTTGGATGGGGTTAGGATTACATTGTGTGCATCACTGTTGTATTTAGGCTGAAACAGTTTGTGTACCTAATAAACTGGCGAATGATAGGACAGGGCAGCTGCTTCCCTGTTGTCTTTCCTCTCAGTTCGCGGCAACTCGTTGAGTTCGTCTGTTGCTACAGTAACGTAACTGGTACAACCAATCAGCTTCTCGGGAAACAATCCTCGGATTTACCCTGAACCAATCATTGCATACAGGAGGCGGGGCCATGAGCACAAACGCGCCAGCGCCAATTTTCAATAACTTGTCAAAGGATATCTTGCTATTTAGCCTCTAGGACAGCTAATAGTGATACATCGTCGAAAAACACAACGTTCTTATCAACAACATAAGATTCGTTCATCTACATTTGGTGTATTAGATACAACTAAAGCAGATGGCGACCAGCGAGTGAGCTACTAATATAGCTAAAATAACAAAGAATAAGAAAACCGTTAGCTATAAACAATACCCACCTTCCGGCAAATCCTCCATGCACTCAAACGTTATTTCAAACTGAAAGGGGTTTCCAAATGGGCTCGGGTTGTCCAACACAGCTACATTTAACACTTGGACCTTGGCCATAGCGCTATCTTCTGAGGCACCTCGACCTGGAAAATTAACTTAGCTTTGCTGATCCAATTGTAACGAGTCTCTCGGCATTGACTATCGCTGTGTTCTTGGACTCGCACGCTTTGACGTTGCCTGTCGTTAAAGTTATGACTTTTCTTCTCCGAGAACACCAACAAAACCCAAAGGCGGCCGGGCTAAAGGAAGTACGTCACTCTTTTCTTCTTCTCCCTCTGTATTTCTGGTAGCCACACGCTGCATCGCGGCGCGATGCTGCCTCCTAATGTGTATGTGTTAAACTACAGATCATACAATACAAATAAAGCACTTTAAAACCAAAAGTGCTGTACAGAGAAATAAATACATAAAATACAAAAAGCACACAGTTTAGTTCACAAACATATAATAAGTAAAAATACAAATAAAAAGGGAGAAAACTATAAATAAACCAGAATAAAATAATAAATGACTACATTTGTCACTCAGGCTAGAAAATACAATTAAGGGTAAACTGGACAGACTACTGTCATAAGATTCAGAAAAATACAATCATTTTTGGGTTTATCCCATTATACCCTCTCACCTTCGTAAGATACAAGTATGACGATGAAGATACTGTTAGATAAATTGATGTATTTTTTCATTTGAATTTTGTGAGAGGCTGTGACCTGCTTGTTTCTTGACTATGGTTTTTGCTCAACCCAAACAATCAATAAAACAGCATTTTCAGCAACACATCTTTGAATGTTTTTCTTTTTGTTGGTAGTTTTATTACAGTTGTCATTATGTATCTATATAATCTTTCAAATATTCTGAATCACAGCCAATTTGAAATTGTTTTATACATTGTTAAACTTCCTATACATTTATCCCCTGAACTCAACATTATATATATATTTAATATATTGCTTCGGTGAGAACTCATCGAAGTTTACTATAACCAACAAAACAGTCAAATATGAATATAAGACACAGAAAATGAGATTAAGATCATTTAATTTCAATCAATACACTTCAACATTGCAAGTCCATACATCTTATAGCAGTGAAAGTCGTACAAGATGGGAATAATGTCAAAATATAAACAATTCCAAAAGCAATTAATTCCACTACTGCTGACATCCAAAGAGTTGGTACTGCTGGACCATCTCCTCCATGCCCAAACAGGTAGGTCTGTGTTCATCAGCTTGACACTCAGCTTCTGTGGGCCAGAACTCGATCCAGGTTCTTTCTCCAAGTACGTACTGATACCTAAGGAGAGCAGAGTGAAAAACACGTTAGGTCTTCATGTGAACAGCGATCTGTAACATTCAAACATAACACAAGAAAGCCTCCTTCCTCCTTCTGGATACTTTATTACTCAATAAAGTAAAAATAAATTATGGCAACAGTAAATGTGTACAACAAATATTGACTTGATTTAGTATAAAAAGTAATGAAACAGAAAGATCTTAAATTCCCACACCACAAAATCAGATTCAAACAAACTTACGTTTGATGTGTATCATCTCTGTGAATATCATCTGATGTTCCCATGATAAGGTACGTTTTGCCTGCAACCAAATCTAAAGACTCCCTGCAGTGCGGATAACTGAGGAATGTGCGAAGTTTATTCAGGGGACCCACATCAGACGTTCCTGGAATTTAAAATTAGGAGAACAAAGAAAAGGTGAGGATCAAGTGGAAAGCTAATCATTAATCACACAACAAAAGTAGGCCTACTTTATTATTACATATTTCCAGTGGAATCATTCTGAAAGGAACAAACGTTTCTGGAAACACACTTATTTGCCCTCTTGCCAAAAGTGAAAGAGGCTCTATTAGGCTTTTTGGGGTTTTTCCTTTTCTGTATTGTGTTATATGGGTTTTTGTGCATGTAAATGGTCTGCAAAGGCTGAAATCCCAAAGTTCCCTCCAGAGGGAGTTTCTGACCCACACTCCCGCCCCCTGCTCGAAACTCTTCCATTGGACGGCTTTACGGTTTACTTCCGCGACATAGTGACATCACTACATAACACTTGCGCTTCAATTGTCTAGCTCCCGACACATCTTACATGAGAGGCTAAGGGGCGGGACAACTCCAAGTGGTTGACCCATCACAACAGAGCCAGCCGGCTAACCAATCAGAGCCAATCAGAGCAGACTTGGCTCTGGTTTCAGACAGAGGGTGAAAAGCAGCACAGGCAGAATGAGTATATAAAAAAAATCTATTTTTTTACATTAAAGCATGTAAACATGTCACTTTAGAGCCCCAAAATACAAATATGAATCATAAAAGTGAGCATAATAGGGCCCCTTTAAATTGATCCCACTCTCACGACTGTATAATAATTATCCAACTGCACTAATAAGTGATCGAACATCTTATTTTGCCTAGAAACATGAAAATTACCGGTGTTGACATCTAACTGCCTGACATAAATGCATTTACCAAAATGTTAAAAGTTGTATTTTATTGTCTGACAGGAGATGAAATGTGCACACAAAATGTAAAAAGGAGGTAAACCAACTGTTAAGTCACCTACACCTTTACGGCACCTTAGAAACATCAGGGGCTACTCCATTTTAGGCAGTTAAACTAGACACCCACCTTCTTTGATGACTTCCAGAACACGCATTGTGTAAATGTCTGTGGACAAATCATCTTCAAACTTTTCCAGTTTCATTTTGTACACTGAGGACAGACACATTGTAAATTGTTAGCTCATCTGTTTCATTGCTCACTTGTTCTCCCAACCTCTCAGACACACACAATCAAACACATGCATTTTTGGCGTATAAAAGTACTATATTGAGTCAATTGAATCCATTTATGCTCTCTTACCAAAATCTATTTTGCTGGTTTGTGTACTCTCACAAGCCTTAGCTGTGCGCTGATCATTGCTGATTGTCTCCTTCTTCTGCATACTGCAGTTCTCTGGAAATACACAATTGACATAAAGTTATAACACATCCGATCAAATGTTTATATTAGTACATGAGCATGGATGATGGCAGCTGTATTTACGTCACAATTTAGATTGTGAGGTTTTTTTTAGACTTCAGGTGCTTATGTTTCAATCTGGTGATTTACTGCAAACTAAATTTTACAGCATTCTCCTTTACCAGATGTGAAACTAAGTGCTTTTCTCATAAGGAGTACAACTCCTAGATTTATGTTGTAAATGTGAGAGACAATTCCTGGTGATATCATTATGATTCGATGCTCGCAGTGTGGCTTTCATGGGGACAATGTCTGTCTGTCGTTTAGTGGCTCCAACACTTGGGTCAAGACTGAAATATCTCAACAACTATGATTGGGGAATAGCATTTAGTGCTGCTGTCCATAGGTAAGACTGTCAGCTACTAGCATTGCTGTATAGCCTCTGAGTCTTTGTTTTCAAAGTATAATAATACGCTGCTGCAGTTTACAGACCTCAGATCTGCAGCTTACCTGTACAAAGCACAATTTAAGTGTTGTGTTATGTTAGAATTTAACAAATAAAACTTTACAGTGGATGGATAAGGTTGTTTTGACCCGTTTACCTTCAGCACATGTGCACTCATCACCTCTGCAGAGCCGCAGTAGCTGTCCACCTTTCCTCTCTGGGTGGTAGAACTGCACACAATGTGTTTCTGCAATAAAAGAGAAAGATATGGAAACAGATTCTTACGGTACTTTATAAAATATAAATTAAATACTTGAACAAATAATAATGCCTGCTTATTGACAGTGTTATATTCTCTGACATCTATTGGGAGCAAAACACATGGAGGTTTCTCTAAGACTCACGCTCATAGTATTCATAGACAGATACAGCCGCTGGTTGTAAGACGCCCACTTTCATATTCTGACGAACCCTAAAAATGATTTCTTCTGGTCGTGTGTGAGAAACCTGTAGATAAAGGTGAGATAGAGATAAATACACAAAGAGCAAGGCAGAGAGGAAAAGTATGGAGGAAGGAAACAGCGACGTCTTACCTTGTCCAGGTAGATGATGAGTGAGCCTCTTTCTGACAGGACTTTGTCCATCTCATATTTTGCAATGGTGCGGGCACATCCTTTGGACAACTACACACACACACACACACACACACACACACACACACACACACACACACACACACACACACACACACACACACACACACACACACACACACACACACACACACACACACACACACACACACACACACACACACACACACACACACACACACACACACACACACACACACACACACACACACACACACACACACACACACACACACACACACACACACACACACACACACACACTCAGACCACTAACCATAATACACATATTTTTTCTCCTAACAAAAACCAGCTAGTGCATTTGTTGTGGGTTAATGTGTATCTGTAAAAGTTCTTACTAAGTCCAAGTCCTTTGTGTCAACGGTGAAGCCGGTTAGCAAGCCAATATCCAAAATTGACATTGCTGCATCTCTTTCCTTGTCCTTATACCTGTACACAGAATAGATTGAAGGAAATGAAAGTGTTAAGAATATAGGGAAAAGGGTAATGAACAGAAGCAGAATATTTAATACAGATTTTGAAATATAATAATATCGTAAATAGCTGGTTAGAAAATGTTATGAATAAAGCCATGTGTCAGTGTGTTGCCTTGGTTGTACTTACAAAATTTCTATCCTCAGCTTGTATATCTTCTCGTCTTCATCCATTTTTTCTGCAGGAGTATAATATTGTATTTGTATTTAGTTAATCTGTTTCTCAAGAGTAAGGTACAACAAACGAAGAGACAGAAGGCACTAAATCACCTGGGATGAGCTGCACTGACAGGTTAAACTTCTGACAATCACTTTCCTTTTGTTTAGGTAGAGCGTAGTACAGCGACACCATCTGTCACACAGAGAAGGTGCAATATTTTGTTTAAGTCCTCACAAGGTTAAAAGGGTATTAGGTAAAATCTTAATTTAAAAAAGGACGGATCAGTTATTAACTGTTATTTAAACTCAGAGTATAAAATATAAACATATTTTATACTCACTGTCACTGTTGCTTCTCCTGAACCCTTGCAAGTCACTTTCACATTCTGGTTTATATCATTGATCTGTCAGAGTTTAAATATGAACACAAACACAAACAGTCAAGGATAAGCAGATATTAAAGTATTTATTATTTGTGTGACGAAATCAACAATCAGTGTGTAAATATGCAATCTGTACATTTAAAACTTCTTCT